TCCCTACCAAAAATTCGTTGCGCCGCCCTTGGGGGCAAAAAACGGTGAAAGCTAACGTACGAAATCAGAGGACAGCACACGGTGCGATCGCGCGACCCTGCCCGTGAGCAATCTCCCAACTCATCTCTGCAAACACAACTCCGTCTGACGCACTCTGATAACAATATTGAATTAAAAATCATATTCCGCGATATTTTGATTTCTATTCGTAAACTCAAGCGTTTCTTTGGGCATTGGAAACAGATTCTTCTTTAATTTGGAAATTTTGATAGTGATACCGCAAATACAACTCCGTCAGACGCACCCTGTGTCGTCCTTGCTGCACTTGTCACTTGGCATTCACAACGATCTCGTTAATTGACACGATTAATTAAATAGACACGTAATGCCGGCGATGCGCAAACACCGTGGAACGCGAGTCTCGGCACACTTTTTTTTTCAACATATGACCCTCTCGTGGCAGTCTCATTTCTCCGTGTGACTTTCATGCGAAGATTCATCCCGCCGCAGTGGCCTCTATCTATCGCGAACAAACACTTTGATTAACGTGACCAGACTTCGAAAGACATTGTCTCAGAGATTATCTAAACGTTTCTTGTTCTCTCTAAAAACTTATAATAATTACCTACACCCTTGATTATCCACCCTCTACAATTATCACTAAACACGCACCCTCGAAACGTTTAACCAAACACTGAGGCGAGATAATGAGAATTTATTGGCTTTCTCGGGATCAGAATCGCCGAGGCGTTATGTGGAGGGCGAGGTGACGATCCATTATCGTTCGCCAGTGCGTACGGAGACGAAGGAGCCATTGAGCGAAGAGGAACTTGCACGCAGAAGTGCGGAGAACATGCGTCGCGTGTACCAGGAGGAGCGTCGACGGAAGTATCTTCAGGAACTCCACGACATCGACTCGCGACGACACACGGACAACTTTATGTGAGCATAAATTTCGCCCCAATTTTCGATTCCTCGATACTCGGTGCGATTCGATCGGCAATAAATCCCTAAGTGCGAAGTAGAATCGGGCTTGACAAATTGTATTAATTTGTCCAGACCGTCACAGAAGTCACCGATACCCCTAAATCGCTACGACGACTTCGTCGACGACCTCAGCCACAGGAGCAGGTCGCAGGACCAGACCCCAGAGCCAAGATTGGTCGCCAGGGCTCTGTACAATTTCGTGGGACAATCTCCAAGGGAACTGACCTTCCGCCGTGGGGACATCATCTTCGTCAGACGTCAGGTCGACAAGAACTGGTACGAGGGGGAACACAACGCCATGGTCGGACTTTTCCCGTTCAACTACGTCGAGGTATAAAAGTGCCCTCGTTATCACGTACGACTAGTGCATCGGTAATGGATCTCACTAATTATCGGACCCTTGTTCCAGATTCTACCTTACGATGGCGCGAGGACCACCCCGAAGAAGCCCTACGAGGGTCAGGCACGAGCAAAGTTCAACTTCGTCGCGCAAACCAATCTCGAGTTGTCCCTAGCTAAAGGTTCGACCTCCCCATAATGATAACGTGTTATCTCGGGATATTTTATTTAGACCGGTGGAGGGAAAGTTTAATCCATCCTTTCCAGGGGAGCTGGTGGTCCTGACGAGAAGGGTCGACGAGAATTGGTACGAGGGTCGTATCGGGGGCAGGAAAGGGATCTTCCCCGTGTCCTACGTCGACGTCCTGGCGGAGCCAGGACACAGGCCAGGTGAGTAGCCGATAACGCCTTATCGACCTTGATTTTTAATTCCACCGCCTTGGACCGACATGGAACTGGATGCTTCTCTTGCCTCCGTTCAGCTGTCTCGACCTCACTTTTATTTTCATTCCCCAGGCCTCCGAGTCGTCCTTAGACGTAGAACTTGCTCACTTCGTGCACTCTCCGTTAGCTTCCCACGTTTGATAATGATAATGACTGCAGGACTTTCTCCAGCCGGTCGCACGTCCGCTATTCCCTCCTCTCTCCCTGCTATTTCCTTTCGGCCGTGTTCCCAGGATTCGAGAGTGTGCACAGTGGAGGAGATGTGATGATTGCCCGTTGTGAAAATCCCCCGAAATGTTTTCAGAAACCCCCGTTCAGAGCAAACCCGTCGCCTCTCCGGCTGCGCACAGTCTCCTGTCCAATGGGACTGCTGGTGGGAAGCTGAGCATGGGGCCTCACCATTACACCCCAACGATACCGGTTAACACAACCCAGCAACACTATAATTCACTGGTGAGTCACTTCAGGTATTCGGGAGCTACGATTCATCCCTCTTGAAATTTTTAATTAATTGAGTATAACGAAGATATCCTAGGAAAACAATTTTTCCTTTCCCCACCCCACGTCCGACTTCGATTCAAATAATTCCTTGATGGGCCTGTAATTACGAAGAAATCGTAATTACGTATTTTTGCAACCTCTTATCACTTTATAACGAATCTCTCTTATAAGTATGTAAGGATGAAGGTAGACCTTATATATTATTCGAGAGCTACGATTCATTTCCCTTGAAATTTTTAATTAATTCAGTATAACGAAGATATCCTAGGAAAACAATTTTTCCTTTCCCCACCCCACGTCCGACTTCGATTCAAATAATTCCTTGATTGGCCTGTAATTACGAAGAAACCGTAATTACGTATTTTTGCAACCTCTCATCACTTTATATCGAATCTCTCTCATAAGTATGTAAGGATGAAGGTAGACCTTATATATTATTCGAGAGCTACGATTCATCCCCCTTCAAATTTTTAATTAATTGAGTATAACGAAGATATCCAAGGAAAACAATTTTTCCTTTCCCCACCCCACGTCCGACTTCGATTCAAATAATTCCTTGATGGGCCTGTAATTACGAAGAAATCGTAATTACGTATTTTTGCAACCTCTTATCACTTTATAACGAATCTCTCTCATAAGTATGTAAGGATGAAGGTAAACCTTATATATTATTCGGGAGCTACGATTCATCCCCCTTCAAATTTTTAATTAATTGAGTATAACGAAGATATCGTAGGAAAACAATTTTTCCTTTCCCCACCCCACGTCCGACTTCAATTCAAATAATTCCTTGATTGGCCTGTAATTACGAAGAAACCGTAATTACGTATTTTTGCAACCTCATCACTTTATATCGAATCTCTCTCATAAGTACATAAGGATGAAGACCTTACATATACCCAGCCAGGAAATCCTCTTCCCAAGAGGATTTCTTCTCTCCCACTCTACGAATTCTCGATCGCATAATCAATTTGTTAATAATTTTCTATTAAAAGCCACGCATGGGAGGAAACAAGTTGCACGTAGCACCGATGAACGAGACCCTGCACATCGACACTCACTCCGAGCCAATACCGTGAGTAGTGCACTGATTGAATGATTAAATATCGAATTCTGGAGCCAGGTGGAGCCAACTGGTCCCGAGAGGATTCAGCTGGACCCAGCTGGACTGACTCTATCTTCTCTTGCAGATACCGCGCGCTTTACAACTACAGACCGCAGAACGAGGACGAGCTGGAGCTGAGGGAAGGAGACACCGTCTACGTCATGGAGAAGTGCGACGACGGCTGGTACGTCGGTTCCAGTCAGCGTACAGGATACTTCGGCACCTTCCCCGGGAACTACGTCGAGCGATTGTGAGGAATGGCCAAATCGAGAGACCGACAGGTGCGAGCACCTAGGTCTCTCAGCGAGCGCTGCTTCCCTCGAAGAAAGTCTTAATCCGAAGCGCACCAGAGCCCGAAAAACCCCCAAAAGTGGTGGGCCTGGAAGAGTAAAGTGTAATTTAAGTATAATTATGACGAAGGGACGAGATCGGTTGCACCAGGATTTTTTCATGAATTTTTTAGCGCGAAAGAAGCGTCCCCGAATACCGACGGGTCCTATCTAAACACTGGAATTATTGGTCATTTTCTAAATACGTGGAAGGACGTACTTCAGGCTGATATTGAACGCTAACTGCCATTATCCAGTAAATCCTGAAACTTGGAATTTGTAATTTTCACATATTTATAGTCCGACAGTCGAACTTTAAGGGAAGTCCCTGCGTAGTGTAGCTGCGAATCTCGGAAGACGAGGGTGAAGTTACGTACTGACTTCCCGTTACTGTAATTGCAGTTATATTACATTTTACTACTTGTAATTGAATGGAAGGAGTAGTTACGTCCAGGGGCGTAGAAACTGGGCATTTGCACACTCATTGCCGAGCTCTGGGCGAGGCTCAGCTGGTCTTAGTGCTCGTTAAAAATATTTGTACAAAAATCTCCTGACCCGATACACCGTTTCTGCGCTTCTGAGATCCTCCGAGACGTCGAACTGGAGATGGAATTTTATCGAGGGAACCTAGACAGAGATTGATAAGAGTGATAAGGGGTCTCCTTTGATCGCCTCCACGTCGAGACGTACCACCGACCTTAGAGTATCCGACTATCACGCGAGCACCCTGACAGCCGGTGGATGGATATTAACGAACGGCTTGGAATCAATGTCGCATCAACCAAAAATAGATCTAATGATAAGGACGCTAGGTTAACCTGTAAGTAGTGTATGATAACAGTTAGTTATTTATTGCTATACGGAGTACTGACGACGCGAGCGTTGTCGCCGGTTCCAGCGGTCGTAGGTCCTACAAGAGCTGCGCTTCCACTTTCGAAACGGGAAAAGATTTTTCTACATTTATCCGGAACCACTAAATCTGATTTACAGTCCATGACCATTATCAGAAGATCTTGAGAAAATTTAATAGCGACATTTTAAGGGCATGGTTCAATTTTTACGAGTTTTACGAGAAGGACGCGTACCTAAGCATGCGGTAAGAAGACCTTATTGCGAGGGAGGATTTTTTTAATGGTCGATGTCGATGACTTATGATTGTTCAGTCCTCGAGGTAGAAACTTCAGGAACCGAGAAACTCCGTCTTTGTTAAAAATTAAAGAGCCGAAGTTACCCAATGATTTTATGAGGTGGCCACTCGTGGCCGCTTGTCCGCGAGCCGGGACCGCTGTTATGATTGAAAGTTTGCCTTCCCAAATTCATATTTTTGTAAACATTATTTATACGTAGGCCTATGTATGTATATATACACAGATAGATATATATATATATTATACATATATATACACGCGAACTATACGTAGACCTAACGCGTCGCGTATTTGAAGGCATGCATGAGAAGTCTTCGACGCAAGAGCTCACGCAGAAGTACGCCGCGACACTTTCTGAATCGCGCCTCGACGTATTTCCTTGAAAAAAAAAAAAATATATGGGATCCTTACATCGTAAATTGAACCTCCAAAATCCAGGATAGAAGCCATACTTACCGATAAATAATCGCTTATCAATAATATCTGTAACTCAAAAATGTATAGAAGCGCGTGTTAGAGACGCCGCATTTTCTGAATAAGACCGGCAAACGGCAAATGCATAATTGAATGTTAACTTAGGAATGAACATTTTGACTACCAATTTACCTTGGAAGGGTTCCAGACATCGCGCGCGATCACGAGGAAATTAATTGCCCAGCGTGTTCACGGCTACTCAGTTCAAAATCAGACAATACTAAAGTTTAATGTCGACTAGAGGGGAGCGAGTACAGAGGCATCGAAGCTAATACTCGAAACGATTTCTCGTCCCTCGCGAGACTTTCTGGCGACGTGGACTTTTTCTCCGGTCATTCGATAGTTGAAGCTTATAGTTGGTAGCTGGTTTCTCTTCTGGGTTGCAGCCCGCAACCCAGCGGGGAGACACGAGTACACCAAGTACAGAGGAGACACTTACTCGCTCGCGTCATATGCATATACCGTATACATATCTCGAGGATATCACACAACCGCGCGCAGGATGTACGTTGACGCGTGGTCAACTTATATGAATATACACACAGGAGGTACCAAAAAATAAATATTATAGAACTATAAATCGAGAGGGAAAGATGAAGATATATGTACGTGTTAAGGTCGAGATGCCGGAAGAAGAGATTTTAAGCGACCCGGCTGGGGCTTTAGATTTTTTATTCCTACTCCCTCGAGGATGACGGATCGAGATTAAAATGTATACGTATTATTTCTGACATCCTGGGAATGGAGTATGAATTTTAAGGTGAAGTTTCGGTGGCGTCTCGCCATTTTCGAGGAGTTTGTCCAGGATGATGGGGACTCTCGTCCACGGGCGCCGTAAAGAAATCACGTTAACGCGTAACACGGATGTGCTCGAAACAATTTTGTCCGCTGCACTACCAGTACTCCGCGTCGTGTTACTTCGATCTACTTGTATTGCGTTAATTTAGCACTAACGATGTCACTATGCATTGTACACTTCGGATACAAATAAAACCTAGTCTATTACTGCTCGCGTCGGGTCTTCATTTACTCTCTTCTTTTTTCTTTTTCAATCGACAGAGAAGGAAAGGTTAGTTACTTCCGTCTTCGAGAGACTACAGCAACAACTATGCAACTGGATGATGCATGTAATGAGGTATGAATTCAGATTTCTTCAATGGTACCTACATTAAATAGATAATTAAAATACACCTAAACATGAGTTTAATGTAAAATACTTCCATAGCTGCCATATCCTTACGCTAATTACTTGAAATAATGTGTGTTAGTGCCACACTAATAAACAGGATCATTTTAATAAAACAACCTCCTCGCCGCGCTGATTAAATAAAATCTCTGTCATTCAGCAGGAATGGCAGCACTTTTTCCTGAAACCTGGAATCTCGCAATACCTATCCAGGATTTGCAATACGCAGAAAGCACTTTTATCCTGCCTGCAAGTGGTAGTGCAATTTTGAAACTTCTTGCGATGTCCTTTACAGGTTCGCAGCTCGTCCGGGATAAAAGATCCAGTGCAGGTAAACAGTGAATCCTCTTCTTCGGTTCCTTCTTCAGGGACGCATCGCGGCATCCTCGACTGCACTCCCCATCCGCAACCTTGCGAGCACTGAAAGGATAATGTGCATATTAAAGAATAATTTTCTCGATGCCAGCCATCCTTCTCAAATTCGACCTCGTTTATCCTTACCCGGGACCAGTCCGAAAACACCCATCGACCCTGACAAGGGATTTTGTTGCACTCCCTTTCAATGTTAGGACGACGCTTGGTGCATCTATCAGGCGGAACCATCATCTTGTAAACTTCGATCTCCTTACCCCTGGTGATTGCACTCCCATTAAAGGATGAGTGAACGCAATAAACTTGCCGGTGCTGAACTCCGAAACTCCCGCAAGTTCTGCTGCATCCTTCCCAGGGGCCCACCAGCCACTTAAAGTCGCAACTAATTAATCCGATAACGTCGAACTATTAGAAAATGATTATTCCGCGAAGGGGCCTCTGGATAATCCTATTAACTTCGAGCTAACCTGAAGGAGTTGCACCTCTCGACGTGCAGTACGGGCTTCGAGGTAAGTGCGCACTTTCTTCTGGGCACGATCCTCCCAGTGGCTTCTTCTATGCAAGCAATTGTTTTCTGTCGATGTCCTCCACCACAGCTGGCAGAACAAGGACTCCATCCTCCAACTGTCCAGCTGTACTTACTTACGGAATCGGTGTCGTTTACATTAATAGTATGCCTCGAAAGGACGGAGATGACGACGCCCTCCCTTACGGCTTCTTCGGGTACAGCGAGCTATTGATAATTAAATATGGTATTACGTCCTTTTGGTACTTGTCGTCGAGGTGGGTAATCAGCTCACCGAGACGACGATCTCTGCAAAAAGTGGACCTCTCGCGAACATTGTGTACGTATCACCTAATTTTTGAGGCCTAAAGGCTGCACCTTCGACCACCAGGACCTGACCTCGTCCTTTCGAGTCATATCCTTTCACGTCGTATCTTCGCCTCCTTCCGTCTCTCACGGCGATGGTGAGATCATCTCTGAATTTTGTAGGAACTTGTACGATCGTTACATCCACCCTGATGTTGTAAGAGGCTCGAGGTACTATGCCAGCTCGCGTCATAGCTGTAAATTAATAAATAATTGGTTAATAACCTTCGGTTAGAGGAACTGCCCTGGATAGGCGAGGAAACTTCAGGATCTACTTCAGACTTGCAAATGAGCCGCTCAGTGCACACATCGACTAACTCCACTTTTTGAAAAATCTTAAATTTAGGTGTCAAAGCACTTGGTATAGTCATAACTTTTTATATTTATAATATCTTTCCTGATTAATAGAGATTAACACCATTAAACGGCAACATTTTTTTGGGCATTGAATAATAAGTAATTTATTTCAGAAGCCATTTTGATTAACTCCATACTCTAATGTAAATCGTAGACGAATACCTGGCAGTATAGTATTATTGGATTATCTGTTGCGGCCGTACATCGACGCTTTTTTTTTTTAAACAGCCGAAGATGCTTTCCCCCTTTCAACAATATGAGTAATAAAATCGCATCAGCAAACGGATAGAAAGAAACGCAATGCAGACGGTAGTTAGTATAACGGTGATCTCTCACGCTGAATGTTACCGTATACTTCACCAATATTACACGGACTACATATTTTTTGGTCTTTGCAACATTACTCCCTGATTGTTTTTAAAGAACTAAATATTATACCGTTATAATCAAGATGAGTGAAACTAATAACAATGTGGATGTGGAAAGCAGTGATGATTCTTCAATACGATTTATCAGCAGAAAGTCTGGGGCAAGAAAACGTTTATCGTGTTTCTCGGATTCATCTGATTGCAACGGTACAAATTCCCCAACAAAAACATTGATTGGGAGGCAAAGAAGTCGTAATCCTGATAAATGGGCACGAAATTTACAAAAGCATAACGGAACAAAAGGTTTGGCATACAGGAATAGGGGAGGAAATTTAATACCTGCAAAAACATTTGTCGATATAAAATGCAGACGATTATTTTTTGGCTATTCTTTCTTATTAATTTTATATACCATTAGATGAAAACTATAACTGTATTTTTGTATTCTACATTATATATTTGAAGTTATATTATAATAGGAATTTTAAAAAAGAATCTACATTACTTCATCGCATTTCTCGACTTTTTGTTTTATGGAGTTAATCAATGTGTGCACTGAGCGGCTCAAATAATATTCCCTTAAATTCTGTCTGACCTCTGCGTAATTTGCGTTGAAATTTGTGTATTACATTTTTACAGCTACTGTTATCTCCATCGCAAACGCCGCAAGAATCTCGCTCTTTGGTGGAATTTATCACGTTGTCACATCCCATGGATAGACACGTACCCTGTGAATAATTTTGGTAGTAATTATGGTAATATGTAACAAGATTAATTGGATTCTGAAATTATTCTGCCGCACTTGAACACAGATATTCGAGGATCCATAGTCACAGGGAATTCCATCGGGCATATTTTCACCGGTGAAAAATATTTCTCCTGTCTCTTTACTCCTGCAGGACAATTGGCACTTCAGGTTCTCCTGATCTGGCTCGTGTGGTAACCAGGTGTTGTTATATTTTGGGGAGGATATTCCGATGGACATTAGGCTGACAAGGTGGGAACACTGCAGAGATCTGAGGTCTACTGGAACTGGACATCGATCTTGCTCACATACCTTGAATTCTTCATTTTTACCTTCACACGGTGAACCCCCGTACGCTGGGCTACAATGTAATATAAAATTGCAAATACTATTTAAATAACACCTCTAATAGATGTATCATGTTACATCGCATCACATACGAAATGGAAAAAAAAAAATGTTCTTAAGACTAGTGATATTAAATAACATTTTTCAAAGTTCTCACGCCGGATTGTTGCATTTGCGGGTTCGAAATTGCACCCCAATATCACAAGACCTTGAACATTTTCCCCATGGGGACCAGTCACTCCATCCTCCATTTCTTGAATTGTGCACTATTGGCCCCATGCCGAACCTTTTTCGGTCAACTGGCTCACAAAAGCCATTGATACACCACTGTAAAGATTATTGATAATAACATTTAACCTCGAGTAGTGAAACCAATAGAACTTTCAAATCTAATGATCCACTAGAAACTCGAGATTTTAAGTCATAAATATCTCATTCTCACTTTATCATCCCCACAGGTCGTACCCTCCAAAGGTGGTCCCTTCTTCGTCTTGCAAATTTGAGATGCATTGATCCGACTGCACCAAAGATGTGAACACGGATCAGGTAAATTGAAGCTTCTGCACAGGGTATATCTGAAAATGAAAATAATAAATCACAATCAGCATCAATCGTTAACCTTTAAAAATAACCCACGCCTTCCAATCTACTAAAAACTCCTTCCTCGAGCAATGCCAATTTCTAAATAACCCGATATAGCGTGCAAAATTGTCAACTATAAAAATTGCAAAATTCTCACCCCTCTCCGAACTCCATCCTACACTGTTCGTCCATAGTGAAGGTCTCCTCCAAAGTAGCCGCGAGATGAGTAGCATTGCTGACATTCGGTTGATTCGATAAGCAGGACCACTTTCTGCGTGATTAAAAAATTCAACATAAATTGGAAAAATTATTAAGAAGCTTTATAAACATCGCTCACTTCGTCCTTTGATGAAACTCTCTCTTGGAACATGGGGACCAATGAAAACGGTGGAAAGTAGCTGCTACCATGGGTGCCATCACGCTTCCAAGGGTTGCCTCTTCTCCACAAGTGTTCCCCGCAGATTCATCCCCATCGTGAGTTAATCCTAAACTGGATTGGCAACGGAAACATGGAGAAAATAGAAAATCCTCAAAATCTGATAGGGTTAACGTAGAAGATTAGGATATATTACATGTGGGCCACTTCGTGGGCTATAATGAAAGCACTGGTGAGACCTTCGTCCCGGTTCAGGGCACAGGATCTCGCAGGGTCACAGGCTCCTGACACAGGAGCATATCCCGAAGGACCTCCGATGTCCAATCTCGTTAGCCAAACCGCCACGTCGTGTTTTCCTTCGATGGACGACAGGAGCCTCCGATTCCACTTGTTCACGTTCTCCAGAGACTTTCGAGCATTTCCGCTACGCACCTGGTCTTTCGAAAAACATTGCAATCAATATTTTTTAACGGATACTCATTTGTTTATTTAAAATATTTACCCTCGAGAGGGAAACCCCCCGAGGGTAAAACATGTACATATGAAATGTGTAAAATATTTCAAATTGTATATATAACATTTCAGCCTAGCCCATGTCATTAAGCAGTCGCAGAGTATCCTTAATAAATACATAAAAATTCATATTACAAGAGTAAAACATAAAATATTCAATAAATAAGATCTAACAAGTATAAGATATAGTATAATACGATAAATACGCGGATAAAAGACATAACATAGTTAGTCAAGTAAAAACAGAAAAAAATGTATATATAGAATAGATAGTGAAATAAATGAATAAATAAGTAAATACAAAGATAAATAAATAAAAGAAAAAAAAACGCGATTGCAATCAATATCAAAATGCCATCCCGTTCAACGGATTGAGCGAGAAATTTTAGAAACACATACCATACCGTCCTCCTTTTCGGAGTAAAACACCATTCTGACGATCACGAGGTTCATGTTCGAATCGAGCGACGGATCCTTGTAAATAGCGCTGACCTGGAATGAACATTACGTGTGTTTAACTATTTCTAAGGATAATGTTTCGATTTGAAGATTATACCGTATTATAAGCTTAAACCGTGGAAATGATGGAGATTATTGAGTAAGGTTTCAAATCTGAAGTTCTGGGCTGTGTTTTAGGAAACTGTGGAGGGCGTTTATCAGTTAGGAAAAATATTATCGATAAGGGAATTGTATTTCGATCCTCCTTGAAAAGTGACATGCTGGAATCTAAATTAGCGCTCGGGGCGCACAAACTTACAGAAGGCCTTTAAGGCTCAAGTTAGTAATTGTCTCGCTCCACCGACTCTTAATTAACTCAACTTGCCTTATTACTTATCAACCCTAGCGCCATTATCGAACTCACGGCTTTATACTTCAAGTTACGGGGCATTCCTCCTCACGGTAAGGAACTCTCGATGAAGTTACCATTCTGGCAGAAACGAAGTAACGTAATTGTCTAAAAAAGAACTCTTTAGATAAAAGGACTGCTCCTGAAGGGTACACCTTCTAAACTTGTAATGAACTTGCCCTGCAGGTACATAGTGGCTCCAGGCATTTTCGTGAACGATTTTTTCTTTCGTGAAATGTCAAACTTTAAACGTCGGAGAAGAGAAAAAATGTAATCTCGACGAGAGCCGAGGATCTTCATTTTGCTGTAGATCGAGCAGATCATTTTTTTAATGAAGGAAGTATCGAATAAAAATTAATTTAATTAACTAATGTCAATACCACGGATATTTACGCTAATTTCTCGATTTAATTTCTAGACTCACAATGTTCAGAAGGGCAAGGATGTACCGTTGGACACGAGAGCCATGAAATTCAACGACGGAGTGATCAGCTGCGATAGCTAACTCCAGCCATCTTGGCGGTGCCTCTTTATCCTCGGATTTCCTTTCTGAAATATGAGTACTCTGTAACATACCCTGTACACCTTAACGTAGACCGATAACACAACGTAGAGAAAATAATGTCCACATAATTTTCCAAATGATGCCTCATTATTATAATAGTTTCAATACGTGTAGAATATTTTTCGAAATTAAGGAATTAATTAAGAAATTAAACGTCTGGGAAAATTAATATTTCTGAATTTCAAATCTGAACATACTCAAGACGAAGGTCTCAGAGAAATGTGGGGTTTCTTTGAGAGACGGTTATTTTCTTAAACAAAATTCACTAATTTGCATAAAGCTGAGGCTCCGTCTGTCGGAACGTTCATTTTCCCGTCCGGAAATAAGTTCGTCCGTGTATTACCGGAATGTCACCACTTACTGGGTAATTTATCCTTCTCCCAGGTACGATCGAAGAAATATCCAACGTGCTCGGAATCCTCAATCGAAAGCTTTTCATCCGTCTCCATCTCGACGTCTCCGAGGATCTCTTCGTCATCTCCGATGACATCGATCGTGTCACCGGTGAGATTATAAAATTCCTTTGAGTCGAGGAACATTGAATTTCTCTTAGATCTTTCATTTCCCTCATAAAAATGTCCCTCCTTCAATTTATTCGTTTTAGAAAACCCATTCGTCAGTATTGAATCCAAGTCCTCCACCTCTTCGGGGCTTTCTTCTCTTTCCAAGACGGAAAATTTGTTTCCTCTGTAAAGATCTATAATGTGCTCGACGCAATCTCGAATTTGATTAAGCATCTTCCCAGGGTCCCCGGTAGCTTTCAATTCCAGTACATTTTGCAGCAGGTCAATAGACATATTTAAAAAATTGAAAGTTTCTACATCATAGACGCATTCCATAAACAAATCGTCAGTGACAAGTAGTTCATCGTTTAAATTGTTATTTATAAAATCGAGAAGTTCGTTCTTCACTCCATAATTCTTCAGTAACTTCTTCCCTTTTGTATTAGGTCTTTCAGATTTTTCAAACAATGTGGTAACGTCGGTTTCACTCATCTCCTTTTCATTTGCATTTATCGATTCCTTAATTGTTCCCGAAATCGCGTGATAATAATCCTCCAATTTCGCAGATTTCTTCCACTCGTACAAGACATGCTGATTATTCTTCAAAGGCTCAATGAAGAAAGAGCGATTTTTTATGTGCACCAAGCCATAGAATTCATCCTCGCAGATTGTCAAAGCAACTGTAGAATCTTCACCTCGGATCGTACCTTGAAGAGTCCTACACGTTTCGGAAAAATTATCGGAATCCTTTGAATAGACTGAGAAATTCTCAGAGCCGATCCAGAGAGCTGAAAAATTCAAAGGCACGATCAGCTGTTCGTTTCTTCGAGTTTCCAAAGTCCAATTCTTCAGCAGAACCGAAACAACCTTTTCGGCATCCTCTCTCGTTTCTCTAAAAGATCTCTTCTCCCTCGCCCACTGTCCGCCATAGGAAACAATTTTCGGGTACACAATTTCAAAATTACCCAAACTTCCCAAGTACTCTTCCCGATTCACCGACTCTGTCAGTCGTAACACAAACACCAAGAAAAACCACCTTCGAAGCTCCACCAGAACCATTTTGAGATAGTATAAAAATCGAACGTTTCTCTTTGTTATCGGTAATTCCACGGGATTAATATAAATCGGATTAATTTTCCGTTTTCAAGGCAAATACTTGAATGTATTCATGATTCGCCGCGTACCGTCGTCATTTACGATTTATGTAGGATTACTTTTTCTCTTGAAAAATAACGTTTGCACTTTGATTAAAACACTGAGGGTACACTTCTTGTGCGGGATAAAGACAATAGAATGCACTGTCAATCATTGCCAGCAAAACCAATATCGAAAAGAATGGCAACTGCATCCGTGGAAAACTCGTTGCTTCATTGGCTTAGCATTGTTGAGCAGCGGGTTGCTCCGGTCCCGTGTTAATTAACACTTAATTAAGGCGAAGCTGCAGCCACCGAGGCTGCCTTCCCACTGCAACTGGCCGCCACATGGAGTACTTAACACAGATAGACTCTGTGCACACGTACTGCATCCATGAACAAGTGCACCGATGAAACGAGTTCAGAGACGTATGGAGAACATTTATCTCCACGGTTCAACCTATTTCGGCGAACAATGAAGTTTAATTATTCTCCGGAACGGACGGTTTCTCGGGCAATAAACGACTACATCGAGTGGATATATTATAAACAATGGCAAAGTAAAACCAGGAACTGTGGTTTCATAATTTCGTTTGAATTATACACTTTGTGTTAAATAACCCCTAAAGTCGTAATCCCGAATAATGAGGAGTTAAGCTAAAAATGAATTGAAACCTTATTTGATGATACGGTCCAAACATCTCCGCCATGAAAGACGTGGTATATTTGTAAAAAAAAATATGTAAACAAGTAATTGATATTAGTTGTAAAATTACAGAAGGAGATAAACTAGATTTAATTGAGGGGCGAGTTGGGAAACGGCATTTTATGGAGTTTTGGCAGTGTTTCGTAGGAATTTCATTACTCCCGTCTCGTATACTGTTGCACCATTAATTGAGTCGGCCCTGGACGCATTTATGCTTCGAAGCTCTATGGGAGAGAGAAATAAAGACGAAATATCGGAGAGGCCGAGAGGAGGAGAGAGAAACACCGCAAGCTCCTTTGGTACACGCGAAGTTCTAATAATGGCGGCTTTATATACCAGAGTTTACTTCACAGACCGGTCAATGTTCCTACGCTTGCTGAGATAATTATTCGAGGATAATGGCGATCGCAATTCATTTTCCCCCGCCGGTAAATATTTTTCTTTCCCGATCCTCGTGTCGACACTGTTAGTAGAGATGCGTAATTACTTGTACTGTCAGAATCGCGGGATGAAAAGAGAACAGCGAAACGGGTAGAATTTGAATAACTGACCACTTGATATGTACTATAGTTTATTGGCACTGTCACGACGGGTACATAATGACTGTGAGCACAGCCTGAAGAATCAATGCCAAAATCAAGCCAACTTCTGTCGTGTTAATTTCTGCGGCCGTTCCGGTGCCTGTATTACACAATGATTTCTCGCAACATGCTGTACATGCGTAAAGCTTTGTGCGTTCCCCGATGACGATGCACCCAGGTTCGCATTTGTTTGTGCAATTTCTCTCCAAAGACCACATCATGGGCACGGAGGTCGAGTTCTCGGTACTAGTTGTGTACGAGAATCTCTTCACCTGAAAAGTAAGAATTTTTATCACCACGTAAATCGTGGAATAAAAAGAGAAGAAATGAAATTAAATGAAATGGGTGGTTGCACGCGAAAAGTTGTATTTCCTCGCTGTGACAGGTTAACTCACCATACAAATTCGTCTATCATCTTTGCACTTTTGGATGAGGGAACTGTGGTTGCCAGCTAGATCTACACACCTCTCACCATCATCCATGGTATCACATTGATAGCACCATAAGTCATTTGCGCGTTCCGACGCAGCGTGCGTTCTGTGCTCCTTAGACATCAGCTGTTCTGAAAACGATTTACACCTTAAGTAAATATCTCTAATTGGCATTAAAGTACGATAACTACGTGTATGCCATTCGCGACATCGAGACGTTACGCGTTATCATGGAAAATCCTTCCATATTTAGGAACACACACGGTGGCAAGACTTATCTCGGAAGTTATCGGTTTCTCCGCAACATGCCGCAGAGTACTCTGCAGAGCTTTAATAATTCATATCTTGATACTTATTAATTTACCTACGTCGAAGGTCAGCCGAGATTAATCACAATTTTGGACACTGACCCAGATAGGACCGGAATGAGCGCACATTATTCACAAGACAAAGACCTCTTCATCGTATAATAACAACATCTCATTGCAAAGCGCCGAAATATACCGAAAAAATTTCTGCTCCTCGATAGTCGCTCCAAAATTGCAGGAAATTGAATATTTCAATCTTTTTTCAAAATTACATACTTATACTTTGCCTCCAAAAAAAAATCAGGGGAGAAACTTTACTTTCCAATGAACTCGGGTAAAATTGTCCGCAGGGAAATATTGGCCCCTGCTGAAAATAGAATTCTACAGTGATAGTTACCCTGCGAAATCGCGAAATTCGCGATGATGAGGAAAGTCACGACCGCGACTCGACGTTCGCAATACATGGTCAAGTCCGTCTTGAGGTTTTAATTTTACCGACACATCCCGACACGCGATTGTACTTTCCACAGGTTTTATTCTGCCCCGAGAACCCGACAATTCTCTCCACTTTGGGAGACTACCACAGTCGCCATCTTCCCCCGAGTTGCGCATGCGCCCTCGAAACTACGCTACGGAGATTCTCGAAAATCGATGTGACGAAATTAAAGTGCACCAAGCTCGAGAACCGAGGTTCTTCGATTTTCCCCACTCGTCCAAACGATTCGAGATCTCCCCTAGTTCTGCAATTTTCATAATTACATTTTTTAAGGGGTGAAAAAGCGCGTTCCGATCCGCTAAATTGAGCGCGATGTCGCTAAAAAGTAAATAAGTGCTTTACGTTCCCAAAGTACTGCTACAGACAATTCCTACTCTATGAACATATCTGCTAGAAGTGTATATTTTAATTGCTTATAACGAAGATTAATGGAAAAATTATTACCTTTATTTTTAAGTATTTTCCTAGGGTGGCAAATTTCGTCATTTAAACTCAAAAAGCAGAAAGTAGAGATACGACGAGTCCTCTTATCACAGCAATGCACCGGCCTTTGAGAGCGTTCTGAATGCATCGGCAGCTCTGCTAGAATTTCCGAGACAATAGTTCAGCGAGGAGAATAAAACCTCACACTTGTTATTTAGGTATAACAGTGACAGACTTTTAAAGAGAAGACCGAGCAATGGTTATTTCGAAAAACATCGACAGAGTATTCAGGCTTGGTTAGTATTTCGCATTATTTTGGATTCCATGCCGTCCACTTGAATAAACGCCGGTGCAGAAAATAGAGTACAGGCATGACGCGGTGTACTTTCGGCGCAATGAATTTCTGCCAATATGTACACGTATCGGAAACGGTGAAGTGCAGTTTGTTTCCCGTCAATGGCGACCACAGAATCATTTCTAACGCGCCCTTTCCGATTCTTTACAAGAAAGCGTCAGGAATATTTTTGACAGGAGCATCTCCATAAATCTGAAGTACCCTACCCTAGGAAAGGGCAGTCGTGCCTGAAAATCATCTAATTCCGGGAGGTCGTGCCCACCAACCCTTATCGATCCCTCCGAAGAGTTATCCGAAGAGGGACCCGAGGAAAATTCGTTTCGGGACTCGACTAGCGATTTCGCGAATTGTTGCGTGGCTAGGCTCTTTCTCGCCCTCCGATCATAAATTTCACTGATAGAGATGGCCGACCGCTCCTCTTTTCCCTCGAAACTCCCTTAGAAGGCGCCTTCTGAAGTGGGATTTACCTCCAAAATGGATGGGTTTTTGAATGTCCCGCTCGATGAGCGCGAGCCCTCCAATCCAATCTACTCCATTCGTGATAACTCGGAGATGACAGAAATAAACGGATATTCTCGTCGACCGATTCCCGTACTTCGAAATAATTCCCAGCACCCTCGAAAACCCGAAGAAGGCGTTAATGAAGCCGGCCGAAAAATTTTTCTCGAAAATTTTGTCGACAAAATAATCATGGAAATTGATGGCCTGCATAAATTTACCCCTGGCTCTGTAAATGGAACCACTTAAATATTAATTTCTCATCACCCTGTCTGAATTTGCTTTCTCATTATAAAGTTCACGATGAGTCGATTATTTCCCAAAACGGTGCGGTATACCGCAGGAAATTTAATTTCATGTAAAAGTTTCGAGCGCATATCAAAAGGTCTTCGCGGTAACTACTTGCCGACGTGTTTATAGAATTACAAATCCGTTTAATTTAATGTCATTACTGGATAACCACCAACCAGGATATCAAGAAAGGGTGGATACTCATTACCCCAATGCTTCCTTTATCCACATGTGTATCACCGACATTACACGACGCGCGCGCCCACGCCCGGTAACCCACATTTCTATATTTTTAATTAAACCCAACACCGTAAATCCACGTTTTATACCCATTACAATCTACCCTCCCCACGGCTGCTCCACTCTTCACTTTCATTTTTCATAACAAATGTTCCTAGGAGTGCCCAAAATTGACCACGAAATGTCGATGCGCCCAAATGTCAGAAATCTTCCTGACAACACGCATAAAATAATGATCTCTGTCAGTTAATGACTATAAGAATGTTGTATACTTCGTTGCAAAATTTCACCGCACTTATCATTGACATTATTCAGCAGATGAGATGTAATGCACGCATAAAATAATGATCTCTGTCAATTAATGACTATAAGAATGTTGTATACTTCGTTGCAAAATTTCACCGCACTTATCATTGACATTATTCAGCAGATGAGATGCAATGCACGCATAAAAGAATGATCTCTGTCAGTTAATGACTATAAGAATGTTGTATACTTCGTTGCAAAATTTCACCGCACTTATTATTGACATTATTCAGCAGATGAGATGCAATGCACGCATAAAAGAATGATCTCTGTCAGGTAATGACTATAAAAATGTTGTATACTTCGTTGCAAAATTTCACCGCACTTATCATTGACATTATTCAGCAGATGAGATGCAATGCACGCATAAAAGAATGATCTCTGTCAGGTAATGACTATAAAAATGTTGTATACTTCGTTGCAAAATTTCGCCGCACTTATCATTGACATTATTCAGCAGATGAGATGCAATGATCTATTTATTATTGGAGAACGAAAGCTGGGTCAAGCATGACTCGACCAATAGGAGCAGCGTTTGCTAGCTCTTATCACTGCCCTCTCTCTCTCTTCCTCTCTCGCTCTCTCTTGCACTCTCCCTCTGTCTCTGTCTGTTGCTGCACCTGCAGGTTCCACAGGGGTGAACAGCCGCAGGAAAATCGATCTGCTCGTACCAGACGGGCTCTCGCATTGTTACTTTCGTACGTCGACCAGTTGGCACGGTACTCTCTGCAAGTACCACAGAAAACGATCCCTTCCTCCCCGAAGAAGACCCAGAAAAAATCCCTCGATGGAGTCCTTCAGGAGCTCTGCGAATTGCGGTAAATAAATACACTTGATATAAATTCATAAATATACGGTCTGATCGATTAATCGATCGGTGCGAATAATGTTAATCGGGTGATACGTTGAAAAAAGGGCGACATGAAAATTAAATATCGAATGATTAGGATTGTACGAATTAACTGTCTAGATGTGCGATTAAAGCAAGGAAGTACATTTTGGTATTTAATAAATTAACAAATAATTGCCCTAGTTAGAGTTTCGGAAATGGTTATGAAGGCATACTGCGAAAAAGTAATTACATTTAAATATCCCGAAGTTTCGTAGTTCATTCGGGATTAATTATTCAGAAGTTTCCTCCGACTTGATGCAATTAACTCTTCGCCTCTCTGTTCGTTAATGGAAAGCGAAAGGACGTAAGAAATGCTAAATTCTTGACGCATTAAATTAGTATCGGAGTTTCTAATCCGATTAGCAACTGAACAGAGGGGTTAAGGGGAGCATTCGGGAAACACTATGTACATGAGTGATTTTTCTTAGTGAAGTTTAAACCGCTTTGTGGTGAAGGTTCTTGCTGAAATACTTCCGATATATGAATTTTACTTGTTGACGTATCAAGTGTAACGCACCATTAGCTCCGATTGACTTGACACTATGTCAAAATGAGGATGAGATTTCACGGAAAGTGAGATAGTAAATTCTGTGTACGTAGGTGAAACTTCTCCAAACTTAATCCATAGTCCATGTTCCTCCGGGGGTCATATAAATTACAGTTTTCGGCTCTCGCATAATATTACGCAGAATAGTGGTGACAGTAATATGCAAAGTATGACCCAAATTTTATCGTACACCGAATACGGCACGCATACGTCGGATAAAAAATTCCTCGCCTTGCAAACCGACCCTAAACGGACCCAAATAATAATTTTAAATACATGAAAACGAGTTCATATTAAAAAAATTAATGCACGTAACGAGAACATTAAATTTCCTCGCAAAAAACTTGGGAAATTCAAGAAATCCCGAATTCGTCACAAGCCCATTTCAGAATATTTCGGGTGAAGTGATAACCAGGGCGTTACTTTTCCTCCCTTCAAGGGAGGAACAAGATTTATTAATGCCGGTAATTAACTATTTGGGAAGAAGCGATGACGTCAAGGCGCTAATTACCGCGTGGCCATTAGAGCAGAGAACCTGCAGTTATTTGATCTCCTAACTCCTCGAATTCAGTCGTTGCCAAACTTAATCGTCTCCTTGCCAAGAGGATTTCTTGTACCTACTTGAATGAGAAAATCCTCATTAATTCATGATAACGACCGAATATAAAACTAAGAAAATAATTTCATATTTCCCTTCGCGTATATTTTTTCGAGATGACATCTCGAGGGAGGAATACCACGTGGCAATTTTTTCACCCCAAACTTAATCGTCTCCTTGCCAAGAGGATTTCTTGTACCTACTTGAATGAGAAAATCCTCATTAATTCATGATTAAGCACCGAACATAAAACTAAGAAAATAATTTCATTTTTTTCGAGATGACATCTCGAGGGAAGAATAGCACGTGGCAATTTTTTCACCCCAAACTTAATCGTCTCCTTGCCAAGAGGATTTCTTGTACCTACTTGAATGAGAAAATCCTCATTAATTCATGATTAAGCACCGAACATAAAACTAAGAAAATAATTTCATATTTCCCTTCGTGTATATTTTTTCGAGATATCTCGAGGGAGGAATAGCACGTGGCAATTTTTTCACCCCAAACTTAATCGTCTCCTTGCCAAGAGGATTTCTTGTACCTACTTGAATAAGAAAATCCTCATTAATTCATGATTAAGCTCCGAACATAAAACTAGGAAAATAATTTCATATTTCCCTTCGCGTATATTCTTTCGAGATGACATCTCGAGGGAGGAATAGCACGTGGCAATTTTTTCACCCCAAACGCACATCTCTTCAGGGGTGCCTTCGCCTCCGCTTCACTTACTCCACCGTGAAGGACGTTTTATGCGACTAATACCACTCGAGATGAATCGTCAGGCAGCCTCTATTGCGCGAAATCCTCTTGTCTCGTGACTCGGTAAACACGAGGGGTTAACTCCTGGAATCCGTTGGCAGCCGATCATAGCAAGCGCTTCGCAAAGTAAACAGCATGGAGTAACGAGTACGAGTACGAGTACGCAGGCCAACCCGAGCGGGAATCACGTACGTGGAAATCGAAGTACGAGTTGTCGCGGGATTTGGATCCCAACTCGAAGGGAATGCGTGCTCGACATGGGGTTCATTTACAGGGCGAGTTCAATTTAGCCCTGTTAATACCCTCCGCCGTGGTGGATACGTGCAGAAGTTGCATCCCCGATCCCGACATTCATGGAGATTCATCGGTACAGCATCCACGAATGGAGCCAAATAATCCGGCCGGCTCATTTTTCTATGGCCTCGAAGAGACCCTTTGTCGAGACCGGTGAATTTGGTCCCTTAAATTAGAGACTTATAGTGACATCTCTCAAAGGGTATAAAGTATAGAGTGGATTCCGACAGATTTTTTTTATTACGTTGTTATCTCATTATTTTTTGTACAATTTCATAGCCCAGATCTGACGAAAGGGTGATCGGAGAAAAGATTACTTCTCATGGCAGTGGTCTTGTGATTTAAATAATTTAAATAATTTAGATACATGTAATAAATGTGTAAATACATTTTTTTTATTACGTTGTTATCTCGTTATTTTTTGTACAATTTCATAGTCCATATCTAACGAAAGGGTGATAGGAGAAAAGAATAATTCTCATGGCAGTGGTCTTGTGATTTAAATAATTTAAATAATTTCGATACATGTAATAAATGTGAACAAAGATGAAAACTCGGGTTTGCCGCAGTAAATTAATTACGTACTGTGAAACTATTTATATTTAATTATCCGTAACTCAAATAATAAGGTAATGCGCGTACCCAGGTTACTCGGTTAGCCGAATGATTGCAGAATCGATTTTAAACCAATTGCTGTCGACCGAGCCCTGCAATTACTGTAATTATTTCAATCAGCGATTCTCTGAATCGAAATACGTCCCAGGGTGGGGGAAAAAGCGTCAAAAACTGTGATAGGCACAATTTCGATGTTCAGTGTCCTATTTCGCAACCCCATTAAAAGGGGTTCAGCCGGTGTAGACTTGCATTACGCTCGTTAGTCGAATATAATACTTGAATAAGGAATAACGAATGGGGAAAAATAACTCGCTTTGTGCGAGTGAATAATTCGATATCGACTTTTCCCTCGCACCGTTAGCCGGATTGTCCCGAATTTCTCCCAATTACGTACTAATATGATATTTCGTTTCACGAATTCCCCACAATGAAGCGCATTCATGAATTATACATTTCCACTCCTGATTGAAATATATCGAGAATATTTAATAGATCAACAAAACGTTGGGATTTGCATAGAAATAACCGAATATATTATACCTAAGCGCCAGTCGAATTTCACGATAAGAGAAAACCTATTTGAATATTAATCCCAACTTTATGTAAACGATCCCATGGGTAAATATTGTATCGGTTGTTAAACCAATTACGGTATCCCAGAGTTTATTCGAGCTGAATATGAATATTCATATTAATGTTAAATGGCAATTTAATTTTACACGCAAGGACCCGCGAAAGTGTATCGATTTAGAGTGCTGAAAATTGTTTCATTTACTCACGAGATAAAATTGAACAAAAGTAAGAGAATAATCGTACCAAGCATCGGAAGTAAGGTGCTATCAGTTGAGACGATTTCTATATTTCAATTGTAAACTGGAAAAAAAAATCTAAAGCGATTAATATTACCGAGACCTCTCCTGGCCCGAATTTTCCGGAAAAATCGAATCAGGTTTCGGTCGAAGGCCTTCTCGTTAGGTAAATATTGATTGATTTTCGGGGAGTTGGGAACGGTCCTATCGGACGCAATTGACCGTTCGACATCCTCCAGATAACAGGGCTCCAAGGAGGTTAGGTAAACTTCCCACAAAATGATATCTTCAGCGGTTTCGATTCAAGTGGTCGAAGTTCATCAAGGAGAACCAGTATTTAAGGGGACGCGAAAGTGGCATCCGACAGCTCAATCGTTCATAAAACTTTTCTACAAACTGGGTGTCCTAAATCATTTCATACTTTAAAACGTGAATATGGAGACTCTACGATAGGTCCTGAAACTCGCGAAAATTCATTTGTTATAAACTATTTTTAAAATACTTACTGAGTGTCTCAAATCGTTTCATACTTTGAAACGTGAATATGGAGAGTCTACGGTAGGTCCTGAAACTTGCGAAAATTCATTTGTTATAAACTATTTTTAAAATACTTAGAAACAAATTTGTAAAGAATTGAAATTTAATGAGTTTTAGGACCTTCCTTATAGTCTCCCTATTCACGTTGTAATGTTTCAAACTAGTCGGTAAATCGAGTTCGGAGAAAAGTTTTATAAACAAAACCTCTTCGACGCCACTGTCACATCCCCTTAACGCCTATTTAAAATTATCTCCAACATTCCAGAGAATCCTTATTGAAAGAAAAAGAGAGAGATGCATCTCGGTGCAACACGTGTGCCCCTGCGAGATGGCCAGGTCGTTCCGTTGGTTCCTTGATGGAACAGGTGTCCCGTCGGTTCCAACGGAAAGTGACGAACGCCAATTGGCCGAACCAACGCGAGCACAACATAGAATACCCAGGATATAACAAAATTCATGCCCACGGTTTACACATCATTATACACATTGAAAATGAAGTGGGAAACCCCAATAAAATTATTCTCCACGGTGCACAATTTACCTATAATAATTAATTAAAACTTAGCCAACCAATCACGTAAATTAACCGAACGCATTTCAACCATTGACAAGACAACTTACGACGTACTTTCCAATTCGCATTCCTCCAATCGATTATATTGGCTATTTTCCAATCAGTTACTGCAAGCAAGCCATAGAATGCACCATAGAAAAAAAAAATATGTACACGACGTTTCACCTAAATTTTCGATAAAGCTGTTAATATGTAAATTGTGGATACGAGGTTTATGACGCTCTATATACAGCCCGTAAACCGAACAATTCTCTTGACATTCTTTCAAATGCAGCAAAAAGGAAAGAGCGAATATAGGGACTGTCTTTTCTTTGTTTTTCTTTCTTTCTCCTTATTACCTAATAATACTGCCATGTTACCTTGTTTCACATAAAAAGAGAAAGAAAGGGCGAAACATAGCGTTTGTTTCTTATTTTTTAGTTGTATAGTCAAATCGTGTAGGTAGGGTCCTTGGTCCATACATCTTCTATGCGTCCACGATCGCAAACGGTACGCGACGGCTCCAACGGAAAGTGGCGCGCGCCGATTGGCCGCCCCAGAGTCGCAAGCGGCACGCGCGGACCGCACGCGCCGCAAGCGGTCGAACGGCGCAGGGCAAAGGATTGGAGGGGCGGGTCAATGGCGGCGAAGGGACGCCAAGAGGTTTCAAGCTCGCAGTCCCGAGTCGACCGCTGGCGGCGTTCCATGCGACGCGACGCCTCTCCGCGCGGCGCGGTCACTTTCGCGCGACGCCCAGAGGGAGCCACCGAGCGCGGGAACGTTCAAACGCGATCCTGCGACCTCTGCCGGCGACGGGTGGAGTTCGAAGCTAGTGGCAGACGCGAAGAGTTCGGAGAAGATAGAAGAAGCGAGCGTGCCTAAACACCCCTGAACGAGAAGGAATCGACGGAGAAGAGAGGTTAGGAGTTTCCCCACAGAGGAGGAAAGAACTGGTGTTATCGAGGCATCCTTTTTGAGGTTAGTTCGAACGAAACGATCGCTCGAGGACTGTGGAACTCGGAAATCCGTTAGAACTCCGGAAGTTTACGAGCGTACATATTGAAATGGCGTACTGCATTAGTTTATTTATAATTTACAAAGGTGTTTACGGGGTTTTGTTGTATTTTATACTTTCCGTAGCTTGACCGTTTTCGATGTATCCACAGCCAGGTACACATTTAAACTCGAGCATACACAAGGCAAGGCCAAGTGAGCGTACAAGTGAGGAGATACAAATTGCGTACTGCATTATTTTATTTATAATTTACAAAAGTGTTTACGGGGTTTTGTTGTATTTTATACTTTCCGTAGCTTGACCGTTTTCGATGTATCCACAGCCAGGTACACATTTAAACTCGAACATACAAGGCAAGGCCAAGTGAGCATACAAGTGAGGAGATACAAAACGCGACAAACTCTTTCGGATCGTTCAAACCACGATTTCACGCCATACGAATTCCGTCGCTCAGGGTGCCTGTTCTTTGTCTCGGGTGATTTCACTTGTGAACCGAAAACAACTACGAATAAGGCGTTCATCTCGCCTCTCCTCGCCTCGCCTCGTACTCCTTCATATTCAGACGTGTACCCGACGCAGCTGCATCAGTTTGAGAGAGGAAGTAACGCATAATCTCTCTCAAACTACGCTTTTAGCACGCGTACCAAGTGATCGGTGCAAACTGATGCTCGGGTGGAACTGTACCAACCTTCAAGATAATATCTTTAATTAAGAATTAAGGCGTGGTCCGAAATGACCGTCCCATTTCACGTGGTTTCCTGATAGCGGATTTTAATCTTCGGTCAGCCAAATTTTTTTCAATGCAAATCTCGTTAATCCGAGGTCAGTTCCTCGGGTTACAAAGTTTCACGCTGATCAATGACTCTAACAAAGAAGGTATCCCAGGTCGATCTCTCCGATTTGATTTCTTTTATAATATGTCATAGTAGACTAAAAACTAAGCGACACGTATTTTTTTTAACCGCCATTAAACACTTTAAGGGGGTGAAACTGCCATCCAATGTAAGGCCCGTGAGGGGTGGCTCACCCCTTCATTTTTTCTTTAATTCAGAAAATTATATTTTTCATTCCTCGTTGTGAGAAAGCTTTTCCAGGTGGATTGGTTAAAAAATATTACGTTCTTGTGAGTGAAACTGCCAAATCGCCCCTTGAGATGCCTTACTTTAGATGGTGGTTTCACCCCCTTAAAGTGTTTAATGGGAGATATAAAAAAATACGTGTCGCTTAGTTTTTAGTCTATTATAACATATTATAAGAGAAATGAAATCGGAGAGATCGACCTGGGATACCTTCCTTGTAAGAGTGCCGGGATGGCAGAGGAAATAGTCATCGTTGCCGGCATTGGCGAAATTCCCTTGAGAACGAGTTATTATGTGGATGCGTCGGGCTTGGCGAGCAAGGACACTGTGCTGGACCAGAATTGCTCGGTACTCGGTACTCGGGGTCTATCTGTATTCACCACGCCGTTCGATGTACGGTGTGCACTCAATTGATGTGTACGCAATTGAATTGCTGGCATGCTACGCGTATTCGGGTCTTGCTGAGAACGGGCACCTGCATAATGCCCAGCAAATTTGAACCACTCGAGTTACCCACTCAAAACGTTACACGTAATGCACAATGTTCCGCCGGTATAGTCTCGGGCGTTGTACTTATTACTTGCAAAGCACAGGCCCTCTGCAAACAAATATCGATTAGTACTCTTCAACCCCGTATTCCTGTGAACAATGTGTGACGACAATGGGACGAAACAATACCCTAGATGCGAGCGTAACGTTCTGGAACACGCTAATGGCGAATCGAAGCTGCCTTCTGAGCGTCGCCAAGGAAAAAGCTCGGCTTTTTTACCGGAAGTTCAAAGACGATCCCTATCGACTTTGCGTTGACGTCGACTGCGCGCAGAATAACTTTTCATGGTTCTGTCGCGCCGTCGACCTCTTCGCCGGGAAAAGAATAAGGAATATTTATTTATTACCGTCACCACTCTAAGCACGAATGGTCCAAATTCGATCTTGCATGTTCGAGGTGCATCCTTCGTCGAGGGAATTTCTACTTTCCCGATTTCCACCCTTATATCTAAAATGCAGCCGAACGAGGGAAAGCTTTCTGCCTCTCGAAAACTATCCGGCCGGGATTTTTACGTCTGAGAGCATTTGCACATTATGCATTCGGCTTTCCTGGATCAACCTGTTCGGAGGAAATAGGAATTTCTTGAAATATCAATGCAGTCGTGAAATGTGAATAAGAGGATCGAAATTAACTGCGACACTGGAAAAGGTCTGTAGAAGTGGATCGCGGGAGATATAAATATTGTTAACCAAAATGACCGCGAGCTAGGTACTGTAGAAATGTTGAAGGGTTGGAAACAAGTTTCTAGGGACCGGGGGATGAAACCAGGGAATGTCGGAAGGGTTTCCGGAAATGATGGCCAAGTACCTGGATTTTAGACATCGGAGGAGGGGGTTTCAATCGAGTTTTATGATCTTCGGGAGGCCATTATGCTCCTTCTGAGTTTCGAGAGGCCCTGGAAGAGATGCGAGGAATCGACCTCTTGCGAGATTTCAATCCTTCTCGGAAATGAACAGAATGGCTTAGCAGAAATTAGGAAATTGTTACCGGGTCGATAGTTCCAGGACTTAGGAGAAAGAAGCTTCCAATACTTCCCAGGAGAACGAACTCTATCGCGGTTCATCGTCACTGTCATTACTTGTTGACTACCTAAGTAACGATTAATTTCTACCCAATGTCTTCCACATATTCTCTAAATACTATTCCGGAAATTTGAAAACTGTAACGATGCATCGATACGAGGGGTTTCATTCTTTTTACAAACTCAGGGGAGAACATCTGATATCGCGTATTATCGCTGGTCACATGGGAGTACCAGGTTGCTAAATAACACCCATTAATTAACTAATTACCCGATTATCCCATTATCGAGAACAAAGTTTCTAACGGGGTTGCGTAACCATAATTACCCCTTGGGATGAAGATACAGAATAAGGGGCAAGGAATCGAGGGGGGTCGGCCACAGCCACAGATATATGGACGAGTGTGAATAACACGCGAGGGGCAAGTACACCCAGGGGTAAAATACCCCACAGATGAACGTCCTTGTGCCGGGTCGTACTCGAACTCTTATCGTTATCACCGACGAAGAACGCTACCCCTAGAGGAAATTTTTCCACCTCGAAAAATAGCTCGCGCTAACTGCATAAATATTACAAAATTTATTACGGAAGCTAGAGCTTCGTTTTAATCCCCTCGAGAGTGCAGATCGAATTAATTATCAAGAGCTGAAATAATTATTCCACCGAACTTTGCGAACATCAACTATCGGTCGGTAGTACGCTGAAAGAAAAAAATCAGTTCATCGAATCAGAGAGATTTTGTTAATTCAAAGAATAATTATTAGACTCAAATAGAATCGAATAAATGAGATGCGACGTTTATGCGGAATCGTGACAACTTACCCGTGCGAAATAATTATTTTTTTTAATTAAACGTCCATTTCTTTGATACTGTTCAAAGATATATTTCTTCGGTTAAATGAATTTTTTATTCTCAGGGTATTATTCTGGTCGAATGAGACCCTTAAACTTCGAAAATATCGATGAGGCAGAAATACTGGGAGGATCCGAGGAGGTAAAGGGTGGGCTCGGGGAGAAGAGAAACAGGATAGAGAAGGATTCTCGAGGATTACGCCGAGGAAACTGTCTCGCAGTTACGAGCGTTTCGCAGGCGGGTTAGGAAGGGATCGAATCAAATTCCGCGATATCCGGGGAGGCCATTAAGTTCTTCTTGATTGTCGAGAGATCCAAGGGAGATTTCGGAAACCAACCAGTGCAAGGATTCAAGGATTCAAAGATTTAAACAAGGCTTCGGTCTGAACGGCGCGCAGAACTTTGAATGATTACTGCCGGATCGATAACTCGGGTATCTAAAGATCCGGAGAGAAAATAGAAGTTTCACGGTTTATTTTAATAGTCCTTATCTTGTGGATGAGTCGACTCGTGAAGAGAGAAGTTTCTAAGTTAACTATAAAATAAACTGCGATAGCGTTATCTACCGTTCATTAATCGAGCCGTCCATTGTCCAAGCCGGTTAACTCCGGATAAAGAAAAAGTAGTGGAAAATGAATATAAAAAATTAAGCATTGATAAAACGCTTCGTTGCTATAAGTAAGAAAATTATTTCTATAAAACTGGGATTAATCGCTGCGGCCTTTGAACGGCTCGATTCGAGATTGCATTCGTTCAACATTTAGATCCTTTATTTTTTCCAAGGGTTATTTTTTTCTTCCTTCTTTGTCGCGCCATTTGTCACTTGGAAACGTGAAATCGAAGTAACCCTCGGAGGCTTGAGGAACTCACGGGCAACCGAAGAGGATGCGAAGAGTCAAAAATATTTCTATAAAACTGGGATTAATCACTGCAGCCTTTGAACGGCTCGATTCGAGATTGCATTCGTTCAACATTTAGATCCTTTATTTTTTCCAAGGGTTATTTTTTTCTTCCTTCTTTGTCGCGCCATTTGTCACTTGGAAACGTGAAATCGAAATAATCCTCGGAGGCTTGAGGAAATCACGGGCAACCGAAGAGGATGCGAAGAGTCAAAAATATCAAAAAATTGTAAAAAATGTCAAAAAATTCTATAAAACTGGGATTAATCACTGCAGCCTTTGAACGGCTCGATTCGAGATTGCATTCGTTCAACATTTAGATCTTTTATTTTTTCCAAGGGTTATTTTTTTCCTTCCTTCTTTGTCGCGTCATTTATCACTTGGAAACGTGAAATCGAAGTAATCCTCGGAGGCTAGATGAACTCACGGGCAACCGAAGAGGATGGGAAGAGTCAAAAATATTTCTATAAAACTGGGATTAATCGCTGCGGCCTTTGAACGGATCGATTCGAGATTGCATTCGTTTAACATTTAGATCTTTTATTTTTTCTAAGGGTTATTTTCTTCCTTCTTTCTTTGTCGCGCCATTTGTCACTTGGAAACGTGAAATCGAAGTAATCCTCGGAGGCTTGAGGAAATCACGGGCAACCGAGGGGGATGCGAAGAGTCAGATTCGTTCTCCGTTTTCAGATTGGAGTGGCAAAGTGTTGGCGCGTCACGCGAGGACGCGGCAGTTCCGCGCAGTTCTCGCCGCGACGCCCAGGGACGCTTACATCCGCGTCGTCAGGAGCAAGGCTCTCCCGAGAGCGAACGTCGAGATCCTCGAGTACAAAATCCGGGACCTCGAGAGGTGCGAGGACCGAACTTGCACCGAGGAGAAATGTAAAGTGGCCAGAAGGAGGAAGACCTCGCGCACCGAAGGAAACTTCTTCAAGTGAGTACCCATTAACCCGAAGACTTACCTCCGAGTGCACGAAAGTACTTAGCGCGAGCAATTACGATTTTAATTCACGAAAGCCGAGCCAAAAAGTGTAAAGTGGAAAATCCCCAGACGGACGAAGGGAAAGGATCGTCCACCCACCCCGCGGGGAATATTCCCTTAAAACAGGGCAATAAGACGCCAAGAATGGGAAAAATGGCTCCCTCTTTATTGCGATTAGTCTTCCCCGGGTAATATACGGTTAGTACTCCGCCGGCAGGATATATCACCGGGGAAGGTGAACCATTGAGCATACCTCCTGTAATTGCAGCTGTCCATGAAAATACGGGGAATGTAATTTAACGTTTAAATTGGGGTAACGCGATATCTCCATACAGGGATCCTTTGCGGATCCCGGAAACGGCGTTTCCCTAACTTCTGCTTCGATCCTGAATATTGCCCTCGCGGCGATGATTTTGTAAAAGCAACTCAACTCGGTTTCCCCAGGAGGAAGTTTTCATTTGCCGCGAGTTTTCCCGCGGAGGGAAACTAATTCAATATCGTAACAAGTACGCGACCTGCACGTGTAATTCTGCGAGGCAGCGGTGGAGTTTCCTTCAGAATTCGGAACAATTATTATCAATTATTTTTACGCGTTCTTCATTTGGACACGATACGGCACCGTGGCTTGGAATTGCCCCGGATCACGAGTTATTGCTATTTGTACAACCTGACGCATTCGTTCATTGGCGCAAACGGCCATCGTATATATATAACACCCTCTCAATTTAATTAATGCGAAGGTAATTTGAAATTAATTCAGGCATGCTCAGCGTGTTGCTCACCCGCTTCGATTAACGTCCGGCCGCCAAATTTGGGGAATTAAATTTATTAAAGGTCGAATTAAACGGAAACGATGTTGCGCTCAATTTCTACGACCTTGCGACAAGTTTTACAGAAATTACCTTCTCGTAGGTTGCACTCGCCTGACATGGTTCGCGATATTTATTTGCGATGCAACATATTTTCCGCTCGCGACAAACCCGCGACAGGATGTGTATCACGATGGAAAAAAATACACGCAAACAGATATGCTCCCGATCAAGCAATTACCATTGTACACCCTGTACACTTCTCTCGCAAACGGCATCCCCTTTCCGGGGAGTCGAAATTACCCAATGGAAGCAATTTCCTGCTTTCCCAGATGCAGCGGCATGCAGATGCAGGCAACTGTTGCATTCCGAGGTGCAGTAACAGGGAAAACGGGCCCTGAGGGAATGACAGGGAAAGTAGGTACCATGTGAAGAAATCTACGTCTTGATAAATGTAGGAGCACACCGATTTTTTACGCTACGTTAAGGAAACCATCTTCTATGAATAACGTTTCTAGCCGATAAGAGGATGGTTTTATTTTTAGGGAAGTTCCGCTCCAAACGAATTCTCGACATATTTTATGGATGTGCGGAATCCATCAAATAATGACACGAATAACATAACGCAGTCAAGAAACTCACAGCGTTTTGTGCTGAGAGAAATGCGCCCTGCGCACTTGAGATCGAGTGAGACGCTATAGAGTTCTATACGCCAAAGATCGAGATTTCACGAGTGGGAGAAATGGGAATCTACCCTCTCCGTTGCTATAGAAAAAGAAATTAACATCTGATCGGCTAAAAAAATCAAGCAAAAATTTCTGAATTTTTTAAAATTTACCCGGCTCCGATCGCTAGTACCTACGTGAAGATATAGCATTTTAAAGCTTTTCAGCACTTATAGAATCGTGATTCTGTTATCACCAAAATGATCATATGCTAGGAGTATACCTTGGGTGCTCACCAAATAAAATATTGTTTTCAAATTTAATTTCTAATTTTCTTTTTATTTCTTTCGATATAATTTTTAATATTTGTCTGCGGTTTGAGGGAGCAAAAAATCTTGTACATACAACATACGTGAAACCTAATGTACTGTGACATTTGGCAAAAAGATTTTAGCTGAGACTTTAATGGAATGAATGTTCTACTATATTTGGCAAAAATATGGAATATGATTTGAGATTTTCATGGGAAGGGAGCCATTTGAGTAATTTTTGCAATTATTTGAACAAAGATAAATGTATTTGGCTAAATTTTTGTACACCGAAGGTGTTTTGAGAGGATTGAGATTAACACCCACGTTCCTGGTATGCACACGCTGAAGTTCATATTGATGTAGCTAATGTGCATAAATGCATGGCGTAACGCCATAATGTTTGACCTAAACCTAGACTCCGGCCTTCACCTCTTCATCTCGGAAGCGAAAGAGGGAAGTAGAAATCAGAGGAACTAAAAATATTGGGTTGATGCACAAGTAATGGCGTTTTTTTACACGGTGCGCTACGTGTTAAAAACGCCATTACTTATGTATCAACCCAATATATCTGAAAAGTCTACCGTAAACATTGGTACACCTATTTGCGAATTTAGTGCTCACCAAATGAAATGTTGTTTTCAAATTGAGTTTCTATCTTTTTCTTTTTTTTTTCATTTGATCAGATTTCGTTTTAAGTTTTATTTGGTTAGATGAAATTAGAAAACGGTAGATTTTTACAGACATATGGTTTTGAGTGATAATATAATTTTTGGAACAGACGTACTTGTATTACGCCGAACAAAATATACGATAATTTGGCGATAATATCTGATTTGAGTATTTAATCAAATGAATGTACTAACATATTTAGCAAGATAGTTGATTTCCACTTTTTATTGAAAAAAAAAAAAAGAAGCGGGGTTTGAATTGTTTTCGCAATTCATGAAAGAAACAAGAATGTATTTGGCGAGGTTTTTTTTTGCGCCCAAGGTGTTTTTCGAGGATTGGTACACCTATTTACGAATTGAGTAGTACAGTACACCATAATAAAAGGACGTTAAAACAAAAAGGAACGACGAACGAATAATATCTCCTATTGTCATGAAATTGCCTAGGGCGTACGCGTGTCGCATATCACATATCACATTTACATTTCATATTTCACATTTCACATTTACGGAAGTCGGTCGCACCCGCCCATTACATTTCCCTGTGAAAGACGATCCTAGGACGAAACTTGGTGACAGGCAATGGACCAGAATTCCGCGTCCGCGATTCTCCGAGGCGGAAGGAGCGAAATTGAAACTCGAGATGGTGGGAATTGACTGGGGGCCGTTCGTAAACGGGTGCTAATACGTAAGCGAGAGGAGATATTCGATTTGAATTCGCAATCCGGTCACGGAATGCCGGAGCGTACACCGCAATCCGATCGGTTTTCAACGCAGAGTCGTCCTCGACGGACGAGCCCTGGGGTTCTGATTGCGGCCGGGCCGCATCGCGGGGAAAAAGGTACGGTCGCGGCGAAAACCGGGCGGTTTTCGAAAATGAAACCGAGGGTCAAAATCGACACTCCGGGGAGGAAATTGCGCCTCCCGGGTACGCGCATTCGCGATGTAAACGAATACCCTCGCCCATCAGGGTTTACACTCTCGTATAAAATTCCGCGGCCCGCGTAAACGCCACGGAGAAATGTCCCGGAAAAATCGCACACACCGAGGACGTATCGCATCCCCTGGGAGAAGGATGTTTGAACGGAAAGGGATGCTTTTATTTTACCGTAGATTTTCCGCGAGATTTCAGATGTTTCCGGATTTAATGGATACCGGGTTAACGAGTTTTGACGACGAGGCGTTCGTTATCACTCCTGGGGAATGAGAGCGGTTCGATGAATTACTTATACGGTGGTTTAATGTCGGGGAACTCTTCCTCTGGCGGGGGTTGATCGCTGTTTCGTCCGGATGAGCTGGGGGAAATAAATTATTCAGTGTTTTCTATTTATACTGCGAGAGCTGCCCCGGGGATACGTTTTCATGCAGGTGGCTCTACGGTAATTGGGGTGAAACTCGGGATTTTTTCATTTGGACCGAAACGTCAGGAGGTGTCGGGTAAATAATTGTTTATCCCCGATCGAACAGCATGGTCGGGTTTAAGTGCGCCCAATGCTATTTCTGGAGTGCTGCGCAATTATTTGATTACGTGCAAGAGACACGTTCGGCGAGATTTTCATTTGTGGTTTCGAGGGGAATGTTCTATGGGGTTCCGACATTTCGGGGAACTTTTTTAAGAAACCCTGGTAGTCATAACCGAATCGGAGAAAATCATACCGGTCCGGATATTAATCCCTGAGACGCTTCTCGAATCCGAAATCGGATAGGAACTTTTTCACCTCGTTAAGCTCCTCTCTCCCAGTTGGAGGAAGTATTTAATTTAATTCGAGATCGATTCCCACCATTAAGCTCGAGCCACGGTGTATATATAGATATGTACATATATATGTACGTAAGCATATAGCACGTCCCCATGGGGAAAGTTCCTGACGTCGGCCGAGAATCCTTTAAGGGTGCCTCTCATGTTGCCGATATTTTCTTGAGGAATACGAGGACGTATGGACGCCCTGGCGAAATTGGATTTCGGGGGTTGTCGGTCCTTTTTTGCCGCGACGACAGAAAGAGGGACGTTCCTCTTCAGACTATCGGCTCTCCACAATCCTTAGAAGATTCGCCAATTCGACAAGAATTTATGGAATCCTTTTTCACCTCCGAAAAAAATAACGCAGCTACTGTATGCCCAAGCGCTATCTCTGTCATGATTCAACGGTAATGCTGAATGTACTTATTCCGATAAGCTCACTTTGAAATACTATGAATTGCGCGGCTATTTCTTTTCATTCGATGTTTGAAAAATCTCCTTAATGCAAACGCGTGGTACAGTAGCGCCGACATGGACGGAATAATTGAAGCTTTTTCTACGTAATAAGGAGCGGCTGTAAATTTCACTTTTGAGGACTTTTTTTAGGGAAATATTTTACTTAAAGAAGGTAAGTGCTCGGGTCGCGCTTAAAGACATACCGGCGACCCCTGCTTTTAAGTCCTTTTTCAATTTCTTTTCATTCGATGTTTGAAAAATCTCCTTAATGCAAACGCGTGGTACAGTAGCGCCGACATGGA